CTTGATCATGTCAGGGTTAGTATGGCTTTTTACATCCTAATAGTATAGTCTAACAGATGATTTGTTGGATGAGTGGAAGCTCAGAATGCCTCTTGACTCAACAAAAGGCCCACTTGTCAAAACACAGAGCTCCATGTGAATATGTGTTTGAGGTAGCAGTGAATGAACCTGTTTGCAGTGAATCCTCAGTCTCATCTTGTCTGATAATCATTCATGAAGGTGTAATAATGTGCTTAGCTAGAAGAAGCATTGACATTGACCAAGATGTTTAACTTATTTTGAATCCAGGTGCCAGATGCCACCTGCCAGAGAGTGAGGAAGAGGAGGCTGTGTGTGGCTCAGCCATCTACACTTAAAGTAACTGCTCTAAAAAACAAACTGGGACACAGCAGCTTGCCACAGAGGCAGAGCGCCACTGGCTCTATTTGTTCAAATTTAAATGCACAGGGGGCTGACAAGGGCTGACATACAGCGCCATGTCAGCCCCACAACTCACATGATTGTGGTTAAAAAAAATCTGAAAGCATTTCTTTCTATTTTTAGCACTGTTCCATTCATAATGATTGAAGGAAATGAGATGCTTTTGTAAGTTTAATGCTTGTACTTTTCTACAACACAATAGGTTTCGTGACCCAAGGCTCTCCACTCACATTCACATCTTCACATCAGACAGTGGCAGTGATCTTTGTTGCACAGAATTATCTTCTTTCTCCTTTTAAATGTAACTCAAAATGACTAGAGTTCAGTGTCAGTTCTTGCATGTTTAACTTAACCTCAGTCAGACACATCCTTAATCAGAAGGCTGGCGGCTGCCACCCGCCAGTCACAGCCAGCACTGCTTCTTGCCATTACCCTCCAAAATCTGCAGACTGACAAGAGAAAGAGACGCACACACTTTCACAAAGAATAATAAATAAAAATGTTGTCTAGTTAAACTGCAATTGCTGTAAATGATATATGAACATGTTTCTTTTTCTTTTTTAAAGCAGCACTAGATGTTCTTGCTTCACTGGAGACCATCAAACAACAGAACACCACAGATACTGTAGCCAGAAAACATACAAATAGAAAGAGTTGCACTATTGGTATCATTGCTATCATTGTTCTAAAGCTCATTATTCATTGCACTTAATTTTTAAGAATATTTTTAGGTTAGTGTGTAATTGTCATTTTCGTTTTTACTCCTCAGAATCTGTTCATTTTTAGCAGGTCTTATAATTAGGAATATTAAAATGTTCATATGAGGAATATTTTTTGAAAAATATAAGGATGTTATGTTTTTTAAATAATATGGTGTTGCTGATGCCAGTAAAATATGTGAAGTTATTTTTATCCAGTCTAATTTTTCCATATATTTTTTCTTTCATTTATTATTATTCATTTTTATTGTTGCCACAAGAAGAAATTCAGGACACAAAAATATCAGTTAAAAGTGTTTGTACTATACATGCAATGCAGAATACACTAGCATGTTAATGTGATAAAGTTAAAGAAAAACTGCAACATGAAGAATGGGGAGCAGCAAAGTGGGTCTAGAAGCAGCAATGCAGTGAGGGCTAGGAGATACAGAGAGAGAATCCTGAAAGGCTACAGAGAAAGAGAGTACCTTAGGTTTGTAACAGCTTGGATTTCAGATTACTACATTCATTTAACTTTTAAAAGAGATGCAATATGTTCTACATAGACAATGAAAACACTCAACGTCAAGGAAAATATTGAAAAAGCCAACTAAGTGCAGTGACATCCATCTGATGTGTGCAAGTGTGGGTCCTCTTGTATTCAGAAAGATGAGGAAGATCTGTTTGCCTGAATTACCAGTGGAGGAAACATCATTCTTCTAAAACAGATCCCCTCATTGTGTTCAACACACCTTTTCATACTTATTGGCCAGTTTTATTTCCACTCGTTTATTCGGGATTTTCCTTTTGTCACCCATCTGTATCTTGTAACGTCAATGTGAAAAGTCATAGTAGCCACGAGGTGGCGCTGTGGCCTCCAGGCTATCATCCAATAACAGGCGCTTGCACCGAAGAAGTGAACGACGCAGGAAGCAAACCTGCATCTCCGGTTGTAGTGAGCTCAACGTTGGTTTAAGTTTGCTTCACGCTAGTTGGTTTGGAATTGTTGTCCACTGTAGGACAGGCTTCGGGTTCGCGTGTTAGATGTGAGTTTTGTTTTATACGAGCGTGTGCGTGGGCTGGTCCCTTCAGTGAACCGCAGTGTCAGATAGCCTAGCTCCCTTGCAGCTAGCTTGACGCGCTCCTTTCACGCAGCGTGCTAATAACAAAACGGGTCGATTTAAATAATGAATTTGGTCGAAAGCAAAACTCTACACCAACACCTACGCGATGAGGAAGCTCTTGTGGTGGAAAACGCCATCCGGCTGGCGATAGACTCGATAATAAACGTGCTGTACGGAGTGAACAGCGCCAGGAGTCATGAGTACCAGCGGATGGTGACCGACAGGGACAAAGAGATCCAGCGGCTCGAGTGCAGGCTGAAGCAGATAGAGCAGGAGCTGCAGGTGCTTCGCCGACAGGGGTGCACCTGTGGGGTGTTTGGAACCCAGCAGAGCCTCGTCGGATCACAGACCTCCGGTGACCGAGAGAACAGAGAGCACGGCGGGTTTGTACCAGGCTGCATTGACACTGAGATGACAGCAGGGAGGCAAGAGTGTGAAATGAGCATCTCTTGTAAGTAAACAGTGCAAAATAGTTTCCCTTAATTTACGAGTTAATGTTCAGAGGTGGAGCTAGTGCATGAAGCATACATACATGTTACTTGTTGTTTCTGTTGACACTGATTACGTCTGTAATAATGATATTACAGACATTAGGCTATAGGTTGGGGTCCATTTCAGTAATATTTCAAGCAAAAACAGTGAAACAATACCAGATCTATTTTAATAATATACTTACTTGTGTATTATTGATTCCAGCCTCTAACATGTTTAAAATGTGATAGGCAGTTTTTGACAATTTCCTGACATCTCATTGATTAAACCATTAATTAGTTAATTGCAAAAAATAACCAGTATATGAACCAATTTAGGAAATAATCCGTAGTTTCCATTTTAATTGTAATATTATCTGCATAGTTTTTTCTTAAACATGTTTCTTTTCTGACCTTATTAAACTCAATATGTAGAAAAGTGCTGAACTAGTAGCTGTGCAAGTGACACTGCACAGAAGTAATGCATTAACAATTTGTATTACCTTAACTTAAATAAGGAATGTTTTATCTGTTAATATGGACTATAAAACAAACCCTTTAATTTTCCAAAAAGTTGTAGCCTGACAAAGAAATGCTCTGTGTATCTTACCATAGTCACATTCCTTATATTTATAAAATTCATATGTGCTTATTTGGCATTTGGCTGCCTCACAGTTACTGTCGGCATCAGTCACTGATGTAGATAATATGAAAATGCTTGTATTTAGCAATAAGTTTCATTTTCTATAGTCAACTTCTGAAAAAAATCACTTATTGTAATAAACAGTTCTTATAAAACTTGGAAGAGCAATGAAGTAAAACAATACAGAGCATGTTTTTTGAGCTCTTTGAAAAGGACTGGGTCCACAACATTGGCATTAAAGAATCTTAAAAATACATTTGCTTGTAAAATACTGAATACAGAGGCACAGCTAATCTTACTGCTCTTTTTCTATTGATTGTTCAGTCTGTAATATGTTAGACAATGATACATTTCCACCACATTTTCCTAGAGTTGAAAGGGGAGATCATGCACTTTTCTTAATGTATTTATCTAAAAATTGATTAAAATTTGTGGCCCGTTAATTGTTTCACCTCTGATGCATTAATAATGTGCACCATGGTATTTACACAATAACAGGAAAACCAGTCTCCTAAACCTCTTCAAGACAATTATACGTGTGAGAGACTTAACTTTCATTTTTAGGAGTTGAAATGGTTCCTCAAATGCAGGCAAGATTTCGTTTTCTCAAGCATCCTCCACAAGAAATGATGGTTTCACTATTCTGTTTGTACATTTTTCTTGGCAGGGCTTATTGCAGTCAGGTCCAGTGTAGGAAGTCATTAAATCACTTATCTGATTGTGTGTGTGTAAAAAATATACTGAAAATGTACAAATACACAAAAACCCCTCCGCCAACAATAATGATAGTAATTGTCAAAGTAACTTGAATGCCATTTTTGTCTTTCTCCACAGTGGGTGTTTTTGGAAGGCCCTCTTCACGTGTTTCCTCCCAAAGCCACGAGTCAGCTCTTCCATTGTCCCCCAGTAGAACAGGTCTGGACCAGGCCTGCGCCTCCCACTCCTCAGAGACCTCGGGCATATCAGAGGCTGCCAGGAATCTGCCTACATCTCCCAGCAGCCTCGTCAAAGAAGAGCCGTATGATATGGACACAATCATGATCAAGTGGGAAATGAGTGAGGAGAGACTGGGAGAGCATCAGGAGAACACAGGCGACTCATGTCTAGACAAAGAAGGTCCTACTGTCAAAGGTGATGTGTCCTACCTTTTACTGTCATAGAAGAATAATCACAGAAGTCACAGATGTACAGGGATCTTTTTATTTAAGGTTGTCTTCTGCTGTACAAATGGCATGGACAGTAACACCTGGGCTGGGTATCAACCTCATCACAGCACAGAGTATCAGAAACTCAAGTAGTAAAATACTCCTGCATGTCTGTTTATTCTTTGATCATACGTTTCCTGATTTAAAGTTTAATTTTATACAGTGCTTTATATAGGGAACATTCTGGTGTGGCTGCTTGGTTGACTTGTGGTATTGTTTTGGATCCCAGATGAAAGTCTGGAAAGTGTGGCTGCTTGGTTGACTTAAACACCTATACATTTAAGAACCTTGGCTTTTATTTAACAGAAAAAAATGATTCTACTGTGGTATCGTTTTGGATCCCAGATGAAAGTCTGGAATGGTTTTGACCCTGTTATCAAACAGTTCCAAACAACACTCAGCCCTGTACAACAGCCTCAGCAGAAGAGTAAATGTCATCAGTGGAAAAATGGATTAGCATGGCTTTTGCTGTTGCATGACTAAGAAATTGTTCATCTCTACTGATTTCTTTAGAAAAAGAGGAGGACAGAGAGGGGAAAAGGCTCAGGGAGAAGCCTCATGCAGACGCTGGCAGACAGATCACTGAGGGAGGACACCTGAGGTGAGTTGCTGCATGGACACAGTTACTAGGTCGCCAGGGTTGCTGCCTGTTGATAGCACAGTGTTACATTTGGAGGATAACTTTTTTTTTTCCTACCTGCTGTATCTCCCCTAAAAGTGGGTATGGTGACTCTATAGCTAGTGCCAATTTCACTATCACTGCCTCCATTGTAGAGATCTAAGGAAGCAGTCATGATGCTAGGGTTGCAACAGTCTCATAACATCTCAGAAAAATACCACGGTTTCATGGTATTACATAATTATTATCAGCTACAAAGACCCCCAGAAGAATGAAAATGGGTCTTTAATTGCAAGTGACTGTGACAGTTGACTGAACGGGATTGCAACACTAGATTGACCCTAAAGAATAAACAGTTATAAAGATGATTTAAAGAAGCAGCATAACTATAACATGTTATAGAACTAAAGCATGTCACCAGTAGCAGAGGAATTATTCACGTCCTTTACTTAAAGTACTAATATCATACTGTACAAGTAGCCTACTCTGTTACAATAATAATGTCAATGTATTAGTAGACTACTCAATACACAAAAATGTTAAGATTCAAAGTGTTTATTGTCGTATGCACAGTAAGGAAACACGTTTCCCTGCACAATGAAATTCTTCTGCTGTCCACAATGAATGCCAAACAATATAGTCTAAATATAAAATAAAAATAGATCAATAATAATACAAAATAAAGGCACTTGAAAAACAGCGAGTGAAAAATGTAATAAAAATATGCTACAATCAGCTGTATGTAATATACTGTACAGTATATTAAGACCCTATCATGGGGCGACTGTGGTGGGTAGAGCAGTCATCTCCCAACTGGAGGGTCGGAGGTTCGAATCTCTGTGCCTGTAGTCCACGTGTCAAAGTGTCCTTGGGCAAGACACTGAACCCCCAAGTTGCCCCTGATGGTTAGAGCCATCGGTTGAGTTGGCGCTGCAGATGGCTACCTGGGTTCTGTACCGGAAACAAATTCCTTGTGTGTAACATACTTGGCCAAATAAAGGTGATTGTCCTATCACTCAGTGCACGGATGTAAAAGCAGGACATGACTGTTGTAGTCGGCTGAGGTGCAGCTCTGCTAAACTAGTTTGTATCCAAGTGTGACGGATTAACCTGCTGATTAGTTTCTGTTAATCGACCGACTGGTTTGTAAAACTTGTGACAATAGTGGGACATGCCATCACAATGCACGAAACGATTATCTGAATAGTCATTAATTTACTGAAGGTGCACAAGCCAGACCTTCACTCACACACGTATACTCATTTATGTGACACAGGAAAGTTTGTGTGTTTCTGGGGTCAGATTGGGATCAGTGCGAGTTCTTTGGTAAATCAGATTGGTGGGAGAGAAAGGCGCACGTGCAGTGCATTTTTTTTAAATCCCAATACCGATAAACAAATGCGCATGGTATGAATAGCGGAAAACACTGAATTTCCAGTATAATGATACTGACAAATAACATTTAATGTGACTCTGTCACATGTGGCTCATACCTGGTCTTAAAGGTCATTTTTTTACGTTAACACCATTTTAAACACTCTGGTACAGAGACTAAACCCAGCCATGATTTTCCTGTACTCACTGCTAATGTCTGTCAATCTGTCAGTAGCTTATTCGTCTGTGCTATAGACCTCTATTGTTGTTCGAAAATGACTTTAAAAAACATCAAGGAAACTCATTGCTGCACTGGTTGACGTTTCCTCATTGTGAAGCACAAGACCCAGATTTTTATTTATTTTTAAATGTTGCCCCAAAGGCTCCGAGTGGTCATAACTTTACAGCATCTGAAGTAGCAAAATCTCTGGAGATTCTTAGCAAGTCTCAGGAGGTGCTCGTGTTTCACAGCGAGGAATTATGTCACCTAGCGCAGCGGTGTGTTTCCCTGATGTGTTTTTAATTGTTTCTGAAAAAGAGTGAGGGTCTATGGCACCGATGAATAGGCTGATCCAGGACTGGACAGACTGACAGCCATAAACATTGAGTACACACAAGTCATTCTTGGTTTGTCTCTGTATGGGAAGTGTTAAATAATGTTAATATAAAGAATTACCATCTCAAGAGCCGGGGAAAGTGGAACCAAAGGCTCAAGCCAAATCGATACCGCAAGTGTTTTTGATATATTGTCTACACTCCCTGTGTGTCCGCTCGCGCTTTGCATGTAGTTGCAACCTGAAGCATTTTTTACGCTTTACCCCTCTACAACAAACGTATCAAACCAAAAACTATGACCCCAAAACTGTGATATGAAGCGAACCATGAATTTTGTGAACATTCCACCCCTAATCAGAACAACAAAGTGCTTGCTGAACTAAATACTTAATACTATTCTTCTTCTGTGTGATCCTTTCTTGCTTCTCGAACTCCTCAGGAACAAGAAGAAGAGCGTGCCAATGTCCCAGCTGACGGAGGAGGCTCAGAGACTGAAGAGGGCAGCATGGAGAGCAGCTTCCAGGCGGTATTATGCCCGAAAAGTAGCCCGCCAGCAGGGAAACCCGACGCACTCTGGCCCCTTGCCCCACATTCCAGCTTCTCAGTATTCACAACCCATCTCTTTTGTAGATAAGAGGAAGAGGACGCTGATATCTGAGTTACCTGAAGAGTCTCAGATGCTGCAGAGGGAGGCGTGGAGAGCCGCATCCAGGAGGTACTATGCTCGAAAGGTGGCTCACCACCGGACCAACCCCACGCTGTACGGACATGTGCTTCAGAACACAGAGCTGTCGGGAGAGACACAGAGACCAGACAGAGGAGGCTCCCACAGCAACACTGGAGGAATAATGTGCAGCTAATAAACAGAAATGCTGTTTCAAAGAACGTTCTCACACACTATTCAGTCTTTTTGCAGGTGTGTAGGATCAAATGATAAAATCAAGCCTAATCCTGCACACTGCTCACCACTTGTACTCACTGTGTCAACGTTTTGGTCAGCAGACCTTCATCAGGAAAAATGCAACCAGCTTACTGTCTATATACAGCATAGCCAAAGGAACTGAGCTAGGAAAAACCCCTTCCAGTTAGAGGACACACCTGGTATATGCACACATTTAGGGTCAAGCTCATTTTCATAGTACATAATCTGGAGCGCTTACTACAGTAACTTTGCTATTCAAGTATTTTATTGTTTGGTGAATCCAGTAAGAGCTTCAGATTATGTACTATGAAACTGAGCTCAACCATAGTTGTGCACATTTGTCTCAGGTCTCCTAATATGTGAGCTGAATAGTTTGAACCTGGTGTTTTAAATTTACTCATTTGTGTTTCTTTATTGTTGAATTATCAACTAATATTCCTGAGAACAACACTGCATTCACATCACTTTGTTTCTGACTATTCGCTAATGAACACTCTCTTCATTACAGGCTTCTTTGGCGCAATGTGCGCCTGTGCCAGCTGCGCTAGAATGAAGACTGAAAGTAATTTGGGGCATTAAGAGTTTTGTTCAGTGTTGCAGCGCCCCTGGAGTCCAACATCTGTAACTACGATTATGACATATACTGTATAAGCTAATGGGCACATTTGAGCATTTTTGTGTTACCAGTTAATTTTGTACTGGTAAAAATAAATGTTTTGTTCGTTTTTTAAAACATGTGAAATAAAAGGTTTTAATTATACCTGTGGTTTTTGTTTATTCCTGTTGTGGACAAAGAATGATTGCAGTTTAAATGTCTCATTAAATATCGTTTCATCTGGTATTCCACAAATTATTTGTTCATATGAAGGCATTTCAGTTCATGTCAGCCTGAAGCAAAATGAACTAACCCTGAGCGATGAAAGCTTTTATCTGTTCATATACGTCTGGGCTTTTCCGCTGGTTAGTTATGCGCTGTAAACATAACGTTTCCGTTTATTTCAAAATACTTGTACACTGAATTGAATCAGACGCACAATATCATGTAGGGTTGTTTGGTGCCGCATTTGGCAACACACTTTCAGGTGATACAATAAAAGCTACGTGTTTTATCCAGATAAGTAAAAGAAAAGAGCTCAGTCGAATCACGGGCGAATAATAAATACGAAAAATATAATTACTACGGCAGAGAGTTTGACACATTTCTGTTGAATTGTAGGTTTTAGGTCTGTGCCTCTTGGCTCTGTTAAACGTTGCTGCCCGCGGATCCGCTCCTCCTGCCCCCCAGCTAAGAAAAACAAGGACGTTTTGCAACAGAGGCTGTTTGTCGCCGTATATTCCTAAATATTACGCATTTCGACCGCATTCTGACGCACAGCTGATGTTGCACAAGTGTGTTGACTACAGTACCATATAGCACTGAGTATTCATCGCTCTGTGGCTTCAGTCTGAAATATGATCTGTTTGACAGCTGCTGAGGCAAATGCACAATGGGGACAGGCCTGCGTCCGGCTGCAGCTCCGGCTGCGCTGTGCTACGGAGTCAAGGCTACAACAAGCGCCTGTGTTTTCCTAAACCAACAAGAAGGTCTGACTGTTGGTACCAACGGACATTTTTGAGCGAATAACCAGGGCTTTGTCAGTTTTAAACACACAATCGGCTTTTTGTTTCTATTTTTTCCTCGGTTTCCACTACGAGCGCAGGGCGGACACGCGTTTCTTTTGCCTGAGGCTGGCTGTTTCAGACTGGGGATAAGGGGTCTTTAACCTGCCGAAGGCTCAGGTCTGGACACGCAGGGAGGCAAACGCCTATCGGTGTCTATGTGCTGTTGTAGTATACGCCGTAAACATCATCCACAGTCAGGCTGGGCAGAGAACAGGATTGGCCTTTAACGCTGCCAACATATTTTGCATGGAGGTGTATTGTGGAGAAAAACGTTTCAACCGCCGGCGCAGTCACTCCCCACCAAAGAAGTAACCGGATTTGCCTGCAAGGGTTTTGAATATATACCTTTTACACATTTTTAGTGCTACAGGGCTACATTTATGCGTATTCAACCCCGGATAAAGGATCAGACTCTGGCTCGCTGTAGAACTGCTTTGGCGCACTGAATGGGTGCGTTTACCACTCTGGTTTTTCCCTGTTTGAAAGCTACTACTGTCCGGTAGAGGGTCGTTTTAAGATATGATATGTTGCTATAGCATTAAATACAAATGCTGATTTAAGAAAAAATCTTTTAAAAGGTGAAAGTTTTAACTTTAGTGTCTGCAGTCCCAGTGCGCCATATGGTACTTTTTCTCGTCACACTTTGGTTTCTAAAAGGACTTTAGAGTGTAGCTTTTCATTTTTGAGTATAATTGACTGAAGTCTGACAGAATTGTTATTGTAATTACCTATTAAGCTGGATCCTGTATTTCCTGGAGCGTTTGGAGCGCTCTCTGTGCCTTTGGATACACCTGTGCACCTTTGGCGCAGTCCATTTGGAGCCATAGCTCAATTTTTACGTTGTTGGATTCTGCTCGAATGACAATATTTTCCTTCGAGTTTTTCTTATCCAGTCCACAAGAAAATGGTCTTTTTGACTCATAAATCCACCAGTGAACTCTTTGTAGCCTCCCAAAGATGCTCCAGGCCTTGGCAAACGCACAGAAGGCAGCAGAAACTGTCTGAGACTTCAGCTGCGCACTGACTGATAGTCGCTGTTCAGTGTCATCTGTATGACTACTAGGTGGACCAAAATAAGTTGAAATCATAGGGGTAGGACAGAGTTATGTGAGGAGGGGGCGTTGCTGTTTAAGGCCCATTACATGCCATTTAAAAATAAATCTTGGAGCCTATGATTTTCTGGGGGCCAAATTGGCCATTTCTGGGTTTGAGGGGCTATCTGGGCCCTTAGAAAATGGTTTAGTCCAATTTGATCACCCCTACATGTACAACATACATGGAAGTGTCCTTTTTTGCAGGGATTGCTGGGAAGAAGACGAAGGCTGTCGAGGTTGGGACTTTAGAGAGGGAGGTGCAAGCATAGCTACTATCAAAAGGTAAGAAATCCTCTGTTGTGATGTAGCCATTGGTGCCCAATGGTGGCTGAGAGGTTGACTGAGACTGTATACTTTACATTTAGACAGAGAAATTGACGTTTTCGGGTGTATTTAGGTGCCTTTACAGTGTCATAAAGCAGGCAGGGTCAGGGCATTATGGTGTGCATTAACAAGGAAATATGGAGGGACGGCTAGGGGGAGCCATAGCTGGGCAGGAAGGCAACTGGCTGGCCCTGAGCCGTTTGGAGGGAGGATGTTTTGCTTGTTCCAGTACTCACAAACATAGGAGAACTCCGGGTGACACGTCATTGTTGTATGTTAGTCTTCATTAGTACAGTTATTGTTTGAACTGCATTAGCCTCAAGGGTGGCCTTCCTTAGACGGGACTCCCAGCTGCCAAACAGGCTGTGATCTGTGAAGACAGACAACAAACTGTCATGTTGCATGAATAAGTGGCAGAAAATTAGTGAAAATGTCAGGAAAACATAAATAGTGTACTTAAGGAACACATTTATTAGAATATAATGTGTAAAGTTGGATTAGCATAGCATTGCTATGATCATAGAAAACATTCCAAGATGGCCACTCCACTGCAGGCAAACAGGTGAGAGCAGCCTGACATTTCCTGATTAGACAGACAGAGCTGCTGTGTTTACAGCAAACACACAGTCAGATGTTGCTTCTAAACACTGTCTTATCACTGCATTAATCTGGAGATACAATGCACAAGCAGAGTCACTGAGCCATAACGTCCCCGCACTTTGAGAGGTGTTGGAAGTGTTGTGTCTCCTGCTGCCTCTGAAGGCCATGTGGTCACAGAGCAGTGATTGGTCAAACTGGAGCTGTAATTGGCCTCAAATATTTGCTCTTAGTATTTATATTAAAATATAAACCTCCCTTTGTTTATAAATCGATCCCTATTTTGCATCACAATAATAGAAACAACCTCAAACTGATCAAGTTTACTCATTAAGAAATTTCATTTAAGGTGAAGAGCTAAATGTGGATTGTTTTCATTTGCACAAAGGGTTCATTTATAATTGCAAATATAAATGGGGCTTCAGCAGACCATTGGTGCACTCAACTCATCGAGCTTATGATGAATATAGCACAGATCATCTCATAGTAACATGTTACATCATTACTGTTAGAGACATTCTTTGTCCAAAGACTAAATAAATCCTTTCATTACCTGCATCTCATAGTCTGCTATATTTTATTGAGATATGGAGTGTTTTCTCATGTAAATCATCAGCTGTGGGAAAAGGAACCAAAACTAGAATTAAAAAAAAATGTAAGAATATAATTTGACAATTTAGTTGCTATGAAATTCTTACTATAAAGCAAAAAAAAAGGAAACTAAACAGATTTCTAAGATGCCATCTTTAAAATGATAAAATCTTATAAAAGTGACATTTAGAAAATATCTTATGGGAATTTCATTAAATTTTACAACATTTTTCAAGTGGGGGTTTTACAGGCATCCTAATAAAGTAAAATATTTGCTCATCTTTCTGTTTATTACTGATTTTTAACACACCTTTTACAGTTAATCTGAAGTTAAAGGGTTAAATCCTGCTCCTGAGCGTCACTGCTTTCAGTCCACAGTGGTGGTGCTGAAATCAGTTGGTGGATGTTATGGGTGTGTCGCCTTTGGTAAAATACTGCCCCCTGTGGTGGACAGGAATATTTATATGGACATGAAAAAGGCAAAACAGAAACCACCCGTTCGTTGCGTGTCTCTCAGGGACCTGTTTCAACTTGCTCAGCCTTGTGGTCACAACCATAACAACATGGTTAT